GGATTTTAGGTGAAGCTCCTTCATGTTGTAATATTCATATTCACTAGGCAGTGAACTATATCGTAGTATGCGATCGGAGGCTGCTTTTCCGACTTATTTTCCTTCTCTGTCTCTTACAGCATTACAGCAGCCATTTTGTTTATGTATCTTTTTCTTGCACATTGGTCAAGAGTTTCTACATATTTTATTTTTGTTGGTCTCGAAGCCATGGGACCACTATGCATTGGCTGTGCTTGCCTACTAAGATTGCGCGTATCACTTACGGTGTTCGGACTTATGTGGACTATGAACTGAACAAACTTCCGTAAACATGTCCAATAATCATTCCCTGTGGCGTTCCACTTTATTTCACAACTGAATGTTTGTGCTTATGTGCAGATTAGGTTGTGTATAGCAAGAAAACAAAGTGTTTTAATACTTATTTCCTCACTCAACCTCTGACCAGATAATGACAGGAGTTCAGAACAAGCAGCATTGCTTCCTGGCCAATGGAAAAACTTTATGACCTGCAGCAAACCGTACCCAGTCAGCAGTATGGCTTTTTTACAGCGTGCAATAAGACCATTAGCCACACAGAGTCCAACAGCAGGATGTGGCTGGCCTACCTGTCCCTGAGAAAATAACTTGAATTCCAAAATTAAGAAAAGATTAATGGCTTTAAATCAGATAAGAGGATTTTCGTCTGCTGCAGTTCCCAGCCCCTTTCAATCATGTTATGACGAAATGGATATACAGCTGAGCATTCCTTTCTAACAAATGTGTTTCTGTTTGCTGGGTCTGCCAGAAAGTCATCAAGTGTTGCTAAACCTGCACGTGTCTCTATTATTTCTGTCTGAAAAAACAGAGTCCCTGCTGTTGCTCTTTGCTTTCCCTCTTTTCACTTCTCTCTGTCTCTCTTTCTCTCTCTTTCTGTCGCTCTCTCCAACCATCCAACGCTGTCCTTCTCGCCTGCTCTCCCTTTCCCTCATTGGCTTGCCTCCAGCTTGTCTGCTGCAGTCAGAGAGGAGCAGGAGTTCAAACACTGCAGCCTTCAGCTGCTTCTAGGAAGCTTCCAGAAATCTGACGGTGATTTCATTCTCGCCGAACACCAAAGGACTCACAGGTGTCACCAGAAACTTTCTCGTTTACACAAACAGTCCTTAAAGTCACAGTATGTAACTTTTACAAAAACATATTTGTAGAATATGTCAAATGAGTCAGATAATCTATGAAAAAAATCGATCTCCCAGTGCTAACTAGAAACAACCAACCAGAGCCAGGAGGCGGGTCTTAGCGCTGTCAATCATGTCTGTTTCTGTATGACTGACAACAGATGATCTCTCTGCTATGATACAGCTTCACTCTGTCAACAGAGCCTGTCCTGAATGCTAAGACTAGTTGGCATGTCCACCAGTGATGGCGGATGTTTAGCTTGTAAGCATGCTGTTAAATGTGCTAATGGTGGAGAAACAACTCACCTCACTACAAAAACACAAAATCTCACTAAGAATTTTTGGTCCAGTTTCTAGTGCAAATATCTTAGTACATTTGACATAAGACAAGACTAACTTACAAGTAACATGAATAAATGTGGTGTTACAAGTTAAATAAACTCCCAATGGAACTAGTACTTTTTCACTAATATTAAGGAATTATTGACATAAAACAAGCTACAATATCTGGCTGAAAAGTTACCTGTAAGTTAGTTTTGTCTTTTTTCAAGTGTACTAAGATATTTGTACTAGAAACTAGATCATAATTACTAGATAAGATTTTGTGTTTTTGCAGTGCATTACAGAAAAAACACATTTATCTGCTGTCATCAGTTGACATGCTAACTAGCTTAAGCATTAAGGACAAGAAGCTGTATCATAATGGATCAGTCGCACACAGGCATGATTGACAGCGCTAAGACCCGCCTCCTGGCTCTGATTGGTTGTTTTTTTGGTNAAGAGCTGTGCTTTTCTCATACATCAATAGCAGCACAAATTAACTGTCTGTCATGACATGGTGACAGTTTTAACCATTTTCTAAAAATAGCATTTTCTTTGTATAAAAGCTACATGCTGCAGCTTTAACTACAGCAACAGAAATAGAGGAAGGGTCGTGCTACTTGTATGCAAAATACACAATTTAGTAAGCAACAGTAAAGAAAAGATAGATCCAGCTCTCCAGTCCTTGACCTCAGCCGGAGCGTCTGTCTCTGCAGAGGCAGGGACCTGCAGGGCCGCCGCGCTCCCCGCGCCCCTCTCGGATGATCTCATTCTGCAGGGGTCAGCAGGCTCGCCGCATGCTGTGGCCACTTCAGATCAAGGCTGCAGAGAGCAGGTGCCTCGTTAGATGTGTGCGCTTGCTCGTGGGGCCGGAGGCTGCGAGAGTGCTGAGTCTCTGCTGAAACCCCACTCATAAACAAGTCTAATTGATCTTCCTCAAGAGAGCGACAGAGCGACTCAGCGGTGACACCTGCTGACCAGACAAGGAACTGCAGGATGCTGGAGCAGACCTGAAAAGAGTGGTGCTGAGGCTGAGGATTAAAAAATTATGGCAACTAGTAATACTTTCTCAGTTCAAACAAAATGTGTACATCACAAGCAGTTTATCATTTGCAGCTATTGTCACAAATAAGTCCTGCCAAGCATTTTAAATCGAATATTCTGATCAGACTACGTCAGCTAGTAATCTATTCTTGCTAACCTTAGCTAACCGTTAGGTAGGTTGCTCATCTTTAACAATTCAGGTTTTTCTTCGGATGAAATGTATAGTAAATCTAAATATAAACCTAGTAAAATATTGTGTCCACAAGAGTAAATGGAGTGAAAAAAATCTCCCTCATTTAATAATTTTAAAGAAATTGACTTAAAAACTTGATGCCTTAAAGACAATAACTCTTCTTCAGAAATTTAACTTTATCTCATTAGCAGATTCCTATGTTATACTTTTTTAAAAAAAAAAATAGCTGTAACAGACCATTATAAGTATTTGAATGTATTTTGGCACTTAATAGTATTTGTACAGACTGAAAGGTACCCATTATGTATATTTAACTTTTTTTTTTTTTTTTACTTTATTTTACTTTCTGGATTGCAAGTTTGTGGTTATTTTATATTATTGCATTCTGATATTCCTCACTATGTTGAAGATCTTCTATGTAATGTTATTTCTTCAAAATATAAAAAAACCGTTAGCTACGTCTAGCTCGGTTTAGGTTAGCTAACATAGCCTAACGGTTAATGCCTGCCACGATCTGTTTCGGAAGCACGATCTGTACCATCATCTAATAAGCGCATGTGCTAAAGAAATACTTCCAGGGAGAGTACTTTTTGTTTTTTTTTCTAAGTTACTGTAAAAATATTATTGCGGTTTAAAGAGAATCACGGATTGTGCTTCCGGAACAGATTGTGAAGTGGACGTTAGCTAGGTTAGCTAGCAGAATCTGGTCTACCTAAGGGTTATGTTAGCTAACCATAGCCTTATCTTGAGTGAGAGAAGACTACATTAATCAAGCATGGCGGTTTTCAGGTCAAGTAACGTTTATTTGTAGAGCGTATTTAAGCAACAAGGCAGTTTAAAGTTGCTATACATCATAAAAACAATACATGAAACAAGCAACATTATGTTTTGTTATGCCATCATGAAAGTCATCTAGCAAATATACCAAATATGTTGATCGATTTTTGAGTTAAAGAAAATTCTAAACAACTAGGATTTTACGATTAGATTGTGCTTTTTTTTGGCTAGAAATACTCTATACCATAGATCTTCATCTCCAGTTTTTATTTATGTTAAAGTACAGTGGAGAATCTGTGATCTTCTAAGGAATGTTATGATGAATTGTTTTTGTAATTACCAAGATGTTTTCAATATAAAAACTACCAGGAAAAGATGAAAATGTGTTTTTTATGGGTCTTTCAGCAAAAATGTCCAGGACATCAAATCCACACTGAAACAATTCATCACCTGATACAAAATCAACGTTCTTCCATGAACACCTCAAGTCTGAAACCTAGCAAAACAAAAACAAAACAAAAGTGACATCAACTGAAGAGGAGATGTGCAAACTGCTGACGCCAGATAATTGATTGGCTTTTTATTACATTTTTAGTTTGAGATTATACTACTGCAATCAAAATTAATTTAAGACTTTTTATAAGGAGGATATCAATAATTATGAAGGTCACTACAGTGGTATGCATAATTCATGAATAAGCTAAGAATACTTTCACATTTGTGTGCAAGTTTTGCATGAAATGGAGCTAATAGCGAAAATTCAAACTGGAAGACTCCATCCCCTCCGTTCGTCCATCGGCGTCATGCTCATCTCTGACCTCAGCGCTGGACCTCACCTGGCGTGTCCAATCATCAATCAAGTTCAGCATAAAAGGATCCACACCCAAGTCATCGGCCGCTTCCCAGCTGCGTTCAACCCAGCACCTCCCCTTCTCCACCCTCATCCTTTGGCTCCAGGATGGCACTCTTTCCAGACCTCCACCACCAGTGTCGGGCCCCAGGGGAGAGCATCCCTAATCGGTTATCGGGATGTTCATCGAGTTCACATCAAATCTCGGCTCAGATCAGCTGCCGGGGCCCGAGCGCCAAAGAACTGTTATGCATTGCTGTCATTAAACCTTTTAATTGTTCCTTTTTCTTCGTCTGAGTCTTTCCAGATTGAAATAAATAAGCTAGTTTTCTGTTTAAAGGCCTCATAATATCTTGGATTTAAATATCTGAGTTCTTCACATTTATTACTTTTATATTTAATGTGAACAAACGTATTTACGTTTGCCTTGATGATTTAAAGATTATTAATTAAAGCTGAAAGGATAAATATTTAGTGTAATCTCTTTGCTGCTCATCAGCTTCCAGGAAGAAACATTTCTCCTAGCATTAATATTGAATTAATTTCCAGCATTAATTCAACGCTGCATCAGCAGTTTGTTCTTGAAATGGTTTCCACAGTTACATTTTCTTGAATGGAACATTTTTTATTAATATCTTACAATATATTTACATGTTACATGCAATTTAGCTACAAATAATAACTCAAGAGTTTGAAACTCAACTTTGTATGAATGGTTTCCAGAAAACGGTAGCACCTTTTTATGGACTGGTGTATTGGAATAATGATCCCCGTAGATTAAAATCATATATCCTATGTGAATCTGACACCTGATACTCTGACAGATGCTACTGCTGGCTAGCCACTAACTGGAAGATAAAGAGCACTGCAGTGTTTTACTTTTAATCAACACTTCCTGCTAAGACATCGGCAGCTTCTGCTGGGTCAGACAAATTGAAAACCGTTGATCAGAAAATGAAAATAATTAAACTTTGCAGATTCAACTGGGTGTTCAAGTAAATATAAATAACATTCACCCCCAGCGTTATTATCTGGTACTATGTCAGGGAAAGTGCTTGTGTTGCCGTTATTAAGCCGCGGGTGTTGCTATCTTGGCCGCTGCCGGGGCGTGACGTTGTCTAAGATCCGAGGGCTGCAGTGGCTCATGTACTGCAGGGCCGGGTCGGCGTAGTTGAAGGGTGGGGGGTTGTACTGCTGCTGGATGTGGTCTGGCATCAGGTGGGGGAGGCTGCAAGACAACAGGAACCAGGAGTAAAACAAATATTTCTAAACCTTTTCCACCTTTAATGTGGCACGTATCCCGGTCAATTTAGCTAAATTACAAACAGTGAAAGATGTAAAAAAAACAAACAAAAAAGAAAGAAAGAAACACACACAAAAACTACAATAATCTAGTTTAACAAGTATAATTATATGTGGAAAATAAGGTTTTGAAGCATCTTTATATTCAATTTTAGCTTAAAAGCTGCAGTAACTTTAATAAAAAATATTTTTTGTTGAAACAATGTTATCCCAGTTTGCAGCTCTCTTGTCTTCTCCCAGTGCTAACTAGAAACAACCAATCAGAGTCAAGAGGCAGGTCTTAGTGCTGTCAATCACCCCTGATTTTGGCACTGCTCATCCCGTCCTGCTATCTGCTAAGCTACAGCCAATTCACCACAACATACTCTTTCACAAATGCTAAAGCTAGTTAGCTTGACCACAGCTGATGGTGGATAAACAGTTTTCCTGTAATGGTGAGTTGTTTCTCCGCCATTAGCACATTAAGCAGCGAGTACACAAGGTTGATTGACAGTTGTTTTTTGTGCATGTCTTTAGACAGCTCAGGGAGGAGGTGGAGGAGACGGCAGTCTGATCACAGTTTTAACAAATATGGAAACAAGCACATTTTTGTAAAAGTTACATACTGCAGCTTTAAATCTTTTTGCCACATGTTGCCTCGGGTAAATCCATTTACTCCAGTTTGCAAAAGATTTCTAAGTCTCTTGTCCACTGCCCTCTTCAGGTGACTGAAGTGTTAAGGCAGAGGTTCCCAAACTGTGGGGCGCGCCCCCTAGGGCGGGCGCCGTGTCATTGCAGGGGGGGAGATGAAAACAAAACAAAACATGAACACTGTACACGCTGGGTTTTTACCTTAGAATGGCCAACTCTCTGTTATTCCTGTCAATTTGATACAGTAGAGGCTTCCACACTTCCCATATTTGTGTCCTCTGTCACTTTTATCAGCAGTTAAAACTGTTTAATCCGTTGTTAACATGTTGTAACCTGTTTTTCCGAGCCGCCTTTAAACGCAACATGAGCGCTACGACGCTCGCGCTGGGTTTACACCTGTGAAGGAGACCTGCTGCTGCTGGGCGGAGCTACGTAGGTTTGTGTTAGAATCACGGCAGCAAACCAGCAAAACGCAAAGAACTTTTCACAGTTTTTCCCCAAAACTAACCGACTGAGTTGAGTGAAGCTGTTGGATGCAGGTAATGTTAGCTAAAAGATAACTAGCTAATGTTGGCTACCGATGTTGGTGTCTATTTTCAGCTACGTACATTCATTTTGCCCCCAAAAAAGTCGATGCCCTCCCCCGCCCCCCTCACACGCGCCGTTTCAACCAGACAGCCATTTGTAATCCATAGGGGGGCGGGGGGTCGCAGAAAATGTTTGGAAACCACTGGGGGGGCGCAGAAGAAAAAGTTTGGGAACCACTGTGTTAAGGTGTTGTTCTGCTTTCTAAGATTTTCTAAGATGGACTGGAAGCTACAAGCTACAGAAAAAATAACATTTTATTCAGTGCTTTGTGCATTTTTTTGTACCCTCCTTCTGACTGATACTATTGAACAGTTTCTGTGTTCAGCTGAAGGATCTAAGAGTCTAAATGGCAGGAAAATCCTAAAAGGAGTGCCATCTTTTGTTTCTGGTGATTCAGATTAACTACAACTGATGCAAATGCAGAAGAATGAAACCTGGAATTGAATCAGAATTATCTTCATACAAGCTTTACTTTAAGTTTATGCACATTGTTTTTGTTTAGTTTTGTCTTAGATTTTTATCCTGAACTGACTGTGGTGAGTTGGTTGAATTGTGCAGGGAAAAATAATAATTTTAAAATCATTTATCATGGTGTAATTTCCTTTAAATCACATAAACACAGAATGTTATTCACCTTTCTGTGAGCTGCTGAGTTCAGGAATAATATCTGCAATTTGGGCTAAAAAGGTTTTGTTTGTATTGTGGTCGTCTTTCTACTCCTTTGAATAATAAGTCTTATATTTCCATGTGGTTTGAATGTCCTGGTTGTGTTTATTGCTGTTTCTCATACAACAGATAATATTATTATGATGGTTTATGGAAATGTTCGGATGAGCAACAGTGACTCATGCATATTCATGCCTCGTCTAGCCTAGATACCCAGAGAGTTGAAAGATAGTGAGATCTGGGGCTAAAGCTGATTAAAAACATGGAGCTCACATCTGAATGCTTCTTATTTGCAGTTAAAACACATTATTACCACTGCTCTCTGTGTAAATATGTGCAGAATGTCCCTCTGGATAACGAGGCGCAGTCACTCTGCTGCTTAATCATCCCACGATAAACTAAAAACAAAGACAACACAACTTGTGAAATGACTTCATACGCTGTTTGCAGAGGCATCATCAGATTCTTTGTTCTTTAGTCACGGCTTTCTCAGAAAATGTGAGTGAACCCTAGTTGTTTTTTTTTTTAAAGTAAAACAGAATTAGTGTTTCTTTCTGTGGGTTTTATTTTTCTGCCTGCTCATCTAAGGTGATCCGACAACGCTGCCGCAGACGGCATTGTTGGACTCGGAGTGTGTTTGAGTGAAAGTGGAAAAAGGAGGCCAGTCATCAGGGGGATTAGGCGTCTCTGCGGCCCACTAGCACCTGGTCCAGATGCCGTACATCTGCACACGTACAGCAGCACACTTTGCTGCTAAGGACACGTTACAAAACACAACGGCATCTGGAAAAAATACAAGAGGCTTTTAAACTGAAGAAGGCAAAATACTCATGATAATCACAACCTCTGCTTATTAACAGACAATTTGTGTCCAATCATACGTAAAAGTTCACTTATACATTAAATTTCAATTAAAACCTACGACAACTTAAGATAGGCATCCATAAACAAAATAAAATAAATTATGCTAAAATAAATGTAGATTAATTAAACTAAAGCAGTGTGAGATAACAGGCTATGCTGATGAGTAACAGCAATAATAAGAGGTTAATAAAACTAACATTAAGCTTTGTTTAAGTTAGTTTAACCAATATAAACCAAACAAACCAAATGAAAGAAAAGCTAAGCTAAGCTGAAACAGACTCTATAAGAAAACCACAAGAGGTTTGGGTAATTTAAGTACAGATAAAATAATTAAACAAAGTGCAGTTTAATTAAACTAACTGTGAAATAAATAACTCATAACCAAAAAAACCAATGAAATATTTTCTCCAGGCTACTGTCACAAATTACACTTAGCAATTTAGCTAAGCTAAACTTAAAATCAACAGAAATAATCAGGCTAATATGTAACGGAAAGTCCAGCTAAGATAAAATAATAAGTAGCTTTAGCTAAAAACCAGAGCTACTAGATGAAAACAGACTCAAATAAAATCAGATAAGAAACAAAGAAGTCAATATAAGCTACATCATACTAAGCTAAAGCTAAGCTAAACATTTCAACTAAACTAAAATAGGTTAATTATACTGTTTTTGCTATTTTTATAAGTACATATAATTGTGGTTTTATTTTATTCGGCTTGGAAGAAAACAGTTTCCATCCATCCATCCATCCATCCATTCATCCATCCATCCATGATCCTTTTTATGGCTCTGCTTTACCAAGCAATGCCTCCTCAAATAGTTTTGTGTGGAATAAAAGTTTCATAACTCGCACAGGGCTGTTAGTAGGAAGTGTTTAGTTTAATATAGTAATAGAGTGGGCAGTTTGTCCTCCGACTGAGAAATTAAATGGGAGGAGGCTGGAGCTGCAGCAGCAGCAGACGGGATTTACAGCCTCTAGTTTCTGGGAAGAAGAACCGTTTCCAGCCCGGCCAATTTCACTACTGTACCTTGAAATACAGTCGTGAATTTGTGTGTCTTCACGGCAGTTTATTCTCCAACGCTCTGCATGAACCTCATCTCCCCTCACCCCGAGGATCTGCTGACCCACCCAAAACCGAGTTAATATCCCAGTCGTTTGACATTCAGAGCTCCGTTACTGCCAGCTTTCCGGGCCAATCAGGCTGCAGGATGTTTGCCGGTATGCAGGTTTGGAGGCGACTCAGCTAAACGCAGACTGAACCGCCTGAAGTCTGCTCTTATTGTCTGCATAGTGAGAACAATTAGGGATTGTTCCAGATTGGGATTCCCATAAACTGGAGTCAAACTAACATTTTTTTATCTGTATGATCATTAAAATATAGACGACAATAAAACCCACTGAGAAAAAATGTCAGAATTTTAACTTTTATTTTCATAATTCTGACTTCTTTCCTAAAAATTTTGACTTTTTTCTCAGAATCCTCATTTATTTTCTCAGAATTCTAAATTTTTTTCAGAATTTTGACTTTTTTTTTCAAGAACTCTAACTTTTAATCTCAGTAGATTAAAGTCAAAATTCAGAAATCATTTTTTCCAGTGGCCCTAATCTCTCCTACATTAAAAGCACCTCAGCAGCCATTTTTTTCAGCCTGCTTCGAATGCTGTGTCCTAATTAAAACCTGTAACGTCGGTTTCCTGCTAATGCTACTCACTCTCCAGTAACCGTCTTCTTGCAGCAGCAGAGGCAGAGCAGAACGGCCAGCAGCAGCAGCAGGAGCAGAGGAATGCCGATGCCCAGAACCAAACCCAGAATGAGGTCCACATTCGGTTCAGACTTCACTGATCGCTCGGCTGGTTGAGAGAGAAAAACAAAACAATGTCAAAACCACAGCTATTATTTTAATGAATGCAGAGAGAGCTCTTTCATTGGTGAAATCAGAACAGCATGGCAAAGTTAATGTAATTCAAACTCGCATTATAATCATATTTATAATTCTTACTTTGATGACTTTGCAGCTGAAAACAAAACTCTTAGAAAATGTGAAAAGCCAATAAAAGTAGACCAATGAACCTGACATGATTTAAAAGAAATTAAAGTTGACTGGTCTCCCTCTGAATTCACTAATAAAAAAAGGTTTTTAATACAGAAATGTTGACGTATAAATAATGTTACCCTAATACCTGGTCAGGGCTCCTTTTGCATGAATTACTGCATAAATTAGTTGTTTTTTTTAAGCGGATAAGCTAATGCGTATTTTCCAGGCACATAGAGCCATTTTACAGCAGAATCAGGGAATTATGTCTCCTTCAGATGTTATAAAAATGCTGCATACATCAAACATAACTTAAAAGAGACTTTTCAATTCGACGCCTTGAAATTGGGCCTCTGTCTCTTTAAGAAGCTCCTACTCTTTCTCTCCTCCATTAACCTGCTTACCAGGATAATGTGAGTTGAATTACTGAAATGAACAAACTTTTTAGTGATGGTTTCACTGAGACGTCGTCGGGTTTTGCTTTTTCCAGTAAACTCACCAGTTATACAGGACTGGCCTCCGTCCACAACAGTGCCATTGCAGACACACATGTAGCCTCCGTAGGTGTTGGTGCACACAGCAGCTGAGACACACCCCGCCTCCTTGGCCTTGCACTCATCTAAATCTGTTTACAGAATCAAAGTGAAGCAGCAAATCAAAATCTTATCAAGTATTTTTGGCCTATTATCTAATGCAAATACCTTAGTACTGCTGAAATACGACAAAACTAAGATATTTCACTATAAACTAGACCAAAAATACCTGATAATGTTTTGTGTTTTTGCAGTGCAACTTTACGATTTGTTTTTTAAGTGACGTGTGCAGAAATCCCAAAAATTATTCTCCAGTAAGAGTATCAGTACTTCACCATATTTCTACTCAAGTAAAAATAAAAAGTATGAGGTAAAAAGTCAACTCAAATACTGAGTAACTGATCAAATTATCAGTAATTTAATATTTAAAAGGTACATAAGCAAACGGAACAAAATATAAAGTTAAGACGACATTTTGGTATTTTAAAGACCAAATTTACAAAAAATGATTAAAAATAACAAAATCAGGCAAAATAATTTTTTTCTAAATGAGTTTCTTTCAGTAAAAAAACTGCTAAAACTTTAACAGAAACTGCAGGTGTGTTCGGTTAAAACACAGTTTTTCATTCAATGGGTAGAAAATCCAGAAATTTGACCAAGAGTAGAAATATTTCGTAATAAAATTATTCAAGTAAAAGTAAAATGTACAGAGCAGTAAAAATACTCCTAAAAGTGTCAAACAAATGTAATTGAATAAATGTAAGTAGCTCCTCCCAGCTCTGCTCTATTGTTTACTATGTTTTGCTACACAGAAGTATTTTACCATCAACTTGCACCGAGTTGATGCCGTAGTATCTGCTGACTTTGATCAGGTAGTCCTGGATGTACCAGTGGGGCGTGTCGCTGGACACGGCCAGCCGGTACTCTTCCATGCCCAGGACGGATGCAGCTTTCTGACTGATGTTGTAGAACTTGTTTGTGAAACCTTTGGCCAGGATGTCATCCAGCTGAGGAAAACATTGAACCATCACTTTGCCGTCAAGCAGAATCTATCAGTGCGATGGGGGGAAGGCAGAGCCTGATCACACACCTGCTTGAGTCCGTCCGTTTTCTCGTCTGTCCAGCTCATGGTCAGATTGAACATGTTGTACCCTGAACAGACGCAAAAGTAGAAAAACTTACAAACATCTCTGTAAGACAGATAGAGCTGCAGCAATGGAGGTGCTGGTAGGAGCCCAAACCTGGAGGATTCGTGGAGTTACCTGCATAAGAAACAAAACAAAAATCAAAGACGGTTCCGACTGTGAGCTATTTTCTTTGAATCAAAATAAACTACTGAATAAATATTTATTTCATTCTGGAGTTTAAAATGTTCTTGTCATATATTGACAAACAAAATTGGAATGAAAATGAGTAGTTTGAAGACAAAAATCTTATGTAGTATATCGGAGTGGTGTCCAAAGTGGGGTGCGAGGGCCATTTGTGGCCCTCAGACCTTAATTCAAGAATTGAGCAAATCTGGCCAGAAAGCGCAGCTGGCTCTTTTTTTGTTTGTTTGTTTGTTTTACAGTTAAATAACAATCCAAAAAAACATTCCCATATATCAATGTTTTTAATTCATCTTAATTTTGGAGAAACTAGAACCGTAATTATTGACCTATTTTTACTCGAAGGCAAATCGCTGCAGCTTAACGATTTTGGGCGTCATGACAAAAGTTTGGACACCACAAGACCAAATTTCAAAAGTTAAAAATTTTTCTCAAAAGTCAATTCCTTATACCAGAAGTTACTAAACATCAGTAAATCATCCGTATAGATACATTATTAAACACAAAACAGGTAATGAGCACATATAAAGATTATAATAAAGAAAAAAACATGTATGATACGGCACTCTACTGAACCAATGTCCTCCATTAGTCCTTGATTTTCTTAATTGATCTCTTTGGTTCCTTTAGACAGATTGTGTCATGAATTGTGAGTTTGTGTGGATGAACCAAAATGCAGAAAATACCTGAGAGCATGTTGAACGTTTTAATGAAAAAAATGAAAAAAAACCTCAGGGAACACAGGGAGCCAGAGCAGAGCAAAAACAGCTGGGAAATAACAGGATTCAACTGGATTTAACAGGAGGAACTGAGAATGAGTTGGATATGTAATGGGAAGGCTGATTACTGAACAATGAACAGATTATATTAGATCAGATTAGATTAAGACAGGGTTACAGAGAGAGAGAGAAAGTGGCACAAGGGGCAAGGAAATGAATTTAACACTAAAGAATAACTAGATCTAAGAAATATAACTAACCTAGAGTAACAAGGAAGAGACAAGAAACAAACATGGAAACACTAAGAAGGACTGAACTGAAGTAAAACAGAAACAAGACTGATCTAATCAAAGAAAGAGACTAGATAATCAGAATAATCGAACCTGAAAAAACAACTCAGAACAACCCCAGACGAAACAGATTGTTCCATAAACAGAAGTACAACGTCCCATAGGTTCAGGTCTGATTTGTTTTATTTTAAAAATCTCTGATCCTCTCAAATGATCAATGCCGTCTATTCAGTAAATCCCTTTTTGCTGGTAATTTACCGTTAATATCAGTGTACGTACCACATCCATCTTCATATCTGCATTTGCAGTCGTAAGATCCGCGCTTGTTCACACACTCATACTTGGCATTCTTACATGGCATGAACTTTGCACATTCATCCATGTCTGCAACACAAAGAGCAACAAAAAATTCACCTGTTACATGTAAATACTGGGAAACATTAGCATACGCTGTCAGTCTTATCGCGGTGCAACTGCAAACGTTTGAGTATTACAGGGATTTTCTGAGACAAATCAACTCAAATAGAAGAAAACACAATAAATGAGTCAGTCCGTTTCACTTTCATCAACCGAAATATAAAAAAATCACCTTCAGAAGTTGATTAATTTGTGTAAAATAAGCTATGATTTAAGTTAGCTGTAAGTTAAGTTTAGTTTTATTTCAAGTGTAATAGGATATTTGAATATAAACTAAACTAATACTTTGTAAGATTTTGTGTTTTTTCAGTGTTCAGCCTCTGGAAACTATATGAGAAATTACCAAAACAGACTGCAACTGTTATTCCACTTCCAAATCAGACGACAAAGAAAGCTGAGCAGTTGTACAGCGATGGAGTAAGCTGAGTATAAATACTTGTGCAATGGGTCGACATTAAGCACCTGTGCAGTTGTGTCCATCTCCACTGAAGCCAGTTTTGCATGTGCAGGAGTAGCTGAGCTTGGTGGACAGACACTCTGCATCCTGGTGGCACGGGAAGGGGAAAGGAGGGCTGCACATGTCTGAGGAGGAACACCAGGGAACCAGGGTAAGGACAGGAACCGGGTCTCAGGTTGGAAGATCTAAAGATGACGTATCATGTACTACAGACCATACTCAAAGCATTTGTATCCCTGTTTGTCGTTGGAGACGGTGTTGTCAGGACAGTCTCCACAGCTGAACTGGTCAGGGCCGGACTTTGGGTCGCACTGCACCCCTCTGAAACACGGCTTGCCCCGACATGCGTTTGTTGTGTTTCCACAGAACGCCCCGCTGTATCCCTTTGGGCACAAGCACCCGACTACCTGCAAATTAAATAAAGATGAAAAAGAAAATGACAAATTTTAAAAACATACACTTTTTTACATCACTGGATGGTTTTTCTCAAATTAAGAAACTTTGACAATTCTAAGCTTAAATTATTGGTAGTGTCATTCTCAGTAAAGACAAAATTATTTGGTGTCCTATTGGAAAACCAATGAACACACCTGTTATTTGGTGTGTTTTGTCATTGCTACACTGTTAAATTCCTTCACAGAGAAAAATATCCCACGATTCTGCCATGATGTAGGTTGGCTGATGAAGGACCCGAATGTAGAGAGGCAGAGGTGTAGATGGAGAATGTTTTAATGAAAAAATGATTATCAGAACTTAGAAAAACTAAAGGAGAAGACAGGGAGCCAGAGCAGAGCAAAAACACCAGGGGCGACGGAGAGTACGCAGAGGAGTGGGAAATAAATCTAAAACTAAAGAATGAGGACAAAAGGAAGATAATTTAACTAAAGTACAACTAGACACATGAAATAATACAAACTAGAGTCACAAACTAAGGGCTGAAATGAAGTAAAACAGAAACAAGGCTGATCTAAAGAAACACGTTATTTTTGCTTTCACTAAAGAAAAGAAAGTTGGAAGCTTACACAGGTTGTGTTTTTAGGTTTATGTCATTTTCATAAACATTTTTTGAATAAACTTTTTGCCTAATTACTTTAAACAAATAATTGAATAAATTAAAAAGGATTAAGTAAGTAAAAAAAGAAAACTCAGCAAGATTTCAAGCTCCACGTTTACTATGGCTTGTGTTTAGTGCTGCCATGGTTGCTAGGCGACAGGACAAACTGAAGGATTCCAGCAGAACTTGGACACACCCTTCACGCCATGAAAAGGGCGGGAATCACCATGGCAACAGTAGATTTCTATCGTTCTAAAGGTTTAATTTTCACTGCACCATTTTTATGATTACATTGACTTACAAGAGCAAAAAAATAAGTATTTGTATTACCACATGAGCAAATTAGCTGATGGTACAATTTTGCTTACAGAATCCTCATAATTAATTTTGTTGTTTTGCTTATTTTGGATATTTAAAATGTCTTCCAGAACCATCTTTGAGAATATGCCATTACCTTTATGTTACTTCCAAAATGTCAAAACAACAATATTATCGTTCATCGCAATAACTTCTGGTGCAATTTATCATCCTGCAAAATTTGTGATCGTTGACTACGCAAAAACAAATCAGATTTCACAAAAAAATTGGAACTGAGCATTAAAATAGTCAACAGCTCCACTACCTCCGCTTTCAAAATTTAATTTAGACTTTTACTTTTGTCTTTTGAAGAAAAGGAAAAATAACAGCTTAAACCCAGGAATGCAGTACCTGAAACTTTCCCTGCAGGTGATTTTCAGCCACGCTGTCATACAGGCAGGTTCCTCCGTTAAGACAGTTGCAGACTCGCAGGACGGGGGTGAACAAGGAGCCTGTCTGCCCGTCGCTGACCTGGACAGTCAGCTGGGAAGGCTGAGTGCTGCGCGGTGTCCATGTCAGGTAGCCGTTCACTGGAAGGGAAGGAGAAAATCACACACATACCAATTACGCATCGCAGCTGTCACAGTAGGAAGAGGCTCTCTGTCTGTGTGACTCAGCAGCAGTGGCCTCTCCGTCCAGCTAACAAATGTCAACAGTGATGCCATCACTAACAGTGATGGATGGAGAGTGTGTGTGTGTGTGTGTGTGTGTCTCACCACTGCCAACACGAGCCTCTGGAGGCCAGGGGAATAGCAATGAGTAGGTGATGGGGTCACCGTTTGGGTCCTGAGCGACAATTTGAACGCTGACCTGAGAGTTGACCTTTGTGTGTATCACAGCGGGCTCTGTCACTACAGGCGGCATGTTGCCTGCCGGATCACAAACATGTCGCACAGCGTTAGGCTCAGGCAGAAACAGAAGCACTTCAAGTTCTGGAAATGCCAGATAAATGTACCGAAGAGGAGAGCCAGGCTCCTGAACTGAGTCTGGGCCTCCAGAGTCTGCTGGCCCAGGTCGGGGATGCCGGACGCCACGCTGTCCTCAACGCACTCAACGCTGTTTTTGCAAAGTCTCATCTGCGCTTCCAGCTCAGCAGGACTGAGGCTTTGCAGCAGGGGCGCGGTGGAGTCCAAAGCCAGGGGGACGTTTTGAGACGAAGACACCAGCAGGTTCTCAGGGTTTGGGACCGCCCCTGGAAAACAGGCGAGATGTGAGCAGCAGGGGCGTCACTAGGGTTTAAGGACAAGGGGGGCTCAGCCCCAGCAAACGCAGCTGGTGAGCAACAAAAACCATTTTTAAAACTGTGTTCAGGGTAAAACAAACATCCTCTAAAATAAGCTCCTATATCTTGCTAAAAAATAACTTGCAAGTTAGTTTTGTTGTATTTCAAGTTCGCCAAGGTATTTGGACCAGAAACTAGAACAAAAATACTTGGTAAGATTTTGTGTTTTTGCAGTGTAGCTTTTTAAAGATCAGTAATCTGGGATCTGCCAGAAAACTGCAATCAGACCCTAAAATGTCTTTCTGAAGTCACTGATAAGCAGAGGTACTGCAGCTCATTAACTGTGTTGGTAAATTAATTCAGACTGGAAATTAACTTCAGATGAGTTTGGGTTGAGGTTGGACTGAGAATACTGTCAGAAAACCGAGTCCCTGTTTTACTCACAGGACATGCAAAACTGCTTCAGCCGCTCCTCCTCAGGGGGGTTGAGATCCTGGGAGGGGACGACCTTCCCGTCGGACATGAGGAAGTCATCGGACCGGTTGGCGCTCCACAGCCCCATGAGACCTACTGTGCGTCTGTAGAAGTTCTCCGGGACTTCCACCATGGCCGCCAGCTGACGGTAGCCTTCACTTCGCCAGACGACCACCCTGAGACCGCTGGCATAGACCGCTGCACAGCGATTCACCGAGAGACAGCGCACCGCAAAGCCCTGCTTGTTCTCGTACACAACACCTGGAAGGACAGGTAGAGGCACCGGATGCTCTCCTTAAGATCTGTTAATTAGATTTTAGTCATGCATATTGAAAGTGTGTGATGCATGTTACCGATTCTGACTGGAAATTCAGCATCATCCACATAAATCTGCAGTCCGCTCGCTTTGTCAGAGCATCTCCAGTCAATCTGAGGATAACGGAAAAAGATTAAAACCAGTTAAAGATACAGGTACAAGTTAGTTTTGCTTTACTAAAACTAGAACAAAAGGTAAAAAATTCTGGAATACTGTATTTCCTTTTGTAGATCTCAAGACTGACCTCATAATCTACCACACACTGCAAAAAAACAAAATCATACAACGTATTTTTGTCAAGTTTCTACTGTAAATATCTTGGCAGACTTGAAATAAGGCAAAGGTAACGTACAAGTAACTTTTCAGCAAGAAACAGGAGGTTGTTTTCAGTAAATTATTCTTTAATCTTGATGAAAACTGGCAGATTTTCTCACTTATTACATGAGAAAACATGACGAAAGTAAAGAATCTGCCAATGGAACCAGTACTTTGTCGGGTTTAAAGGTATAAATTCAGTGAAAGTTGGTGGCTGAACAAAACTGTCACATTTAATTAGTCCAAATTACGTTGGCCTGTCACATAATATCCCAATGAAACACTTAAAACTTTGCCTCTGATAGGTTTGAATAATCTGATTTAATCTGAGTTAAAAGGATTATTCTCAGAGGTCAGCATGACTTTTCCAAACGGCGAGCGTTGCTGTGGTTCCGTCCTGACCTTGCCGATGCCTTGGTGGAAGGCGGCCATGCGCACCACCACTGGGACGTCAATGATCCCTCCTGCGACTGTCTGCAGCTTTTCAATCTGTCCTTGTAGGGTGAAGATATTGGAGCCTCTTGCGGATGAGAGACGTAATATCACAAACTTCCCTAGGGCCTTAAACGAGTACTCTGCCCCGTCGAAGGTGATGAAATGCAGACTGCCGTACACCAACGCTGTAGGGAAATATTGTTTTCCACTTTTAAAATAAGACTAAAAACCAGATAATTTGCTTGTTTTAGACTTTTTTCTGGGGATTCCTCACCGGTGCCCCGCGCTGCCCCCCTGGAGCCGCTGCGAATGCTGGAGACGTAACTTTGACAGCGATCCAAAGGTCTCTTTCCAAGGTAGAGGTGGCACTGGGGAGAGTCGATGCAACACCACTGAAATGGGAGGAGATCCCCATCTGCAAGGAAACATTTGGTGAAATTATGTCTCTTAAAGATGCTCAGCTTTAGCTGGATGATCAGACGAGATGTCTGGGTATTAAAGCATTGCAGATTTTAACTAAACAACAATATATTTTGTTTTTTTACAGAGCTCTCAAAATCTACAGTCAACTCTTGCAGTAAGAAACACCATAAAACTCTATGATTCAGTTTATCTCTAAACAGCAGGGAGAAGATCAGCCTTGAGGAAAGTAAAAACAAATGTTTTGTATGGTCGATATGAAACATGTTCATTACAAATCATCCTTAGATATTGAGATTTCTGTCTGCTCAGTTCTGCTTTGAGCTGTTTTAGGGCG